CAGTAGTGTAGCTACAACATCCAGATTTTATGTCCACTGTACACATCGTCACCAGTAGTGTAGCTACAACATCTAGATTTCATGTCCACTGTACACAACGTCAGCAGTAGTGTAGCTACAACATCCAGATTTTATGTCCACTGTACACATCGTCACCAGTAATGTAGCTACAACATACAGATTTCATGTCCACTACACAACGTCACCAGTAGTGTAGCTACAACATCCAGATTTTATGTCCACTGTACACAACGTCACCAGTAGTGTAGCTACAACATCTAGATTTCACGTCCACTGTACACAACGTCAGCAGTAGTGTAGCTACAACATCCAGATTTTGTGTCCACTGTACACATCGTCACCAGTAATGTAGCTACAACATACAGATTTCATGTCCTCTACACAACGTCACCAGTCGTGTAGCTACAACATCCAGATTTTATGTCCACTGTACACAACGTCACCAGTAGTGTAGCTACAACATCCAGATTTCATGTCCACTGTACACATCGTCACCAGTAATGTAGCTACAACATACAGATTTCATGTCCTCTACACAACGTCACCCGTCGTGTAGCTACAACATCCAGATTTTATGTCCACTGTACACATCGTCACCAGTAGTGTAGCTGCAACATCTAGATTTCATGTCCACTGTACACAACGTCAGCAGTAGTGTAGCTACAACATCCAGATTTTATGTCCACTGTACACATCGTCACCAGTAGTGTAGCTGCAACATCTAGATTTCATGTCCACTGTACACAACGTCACCAGTAATGCAGCTACAACATCCAGATTTCATGTCCACTGTACACAGCGTCACCAGTAATGTAGCTACAACATCCAGATTTCATGTCCACTGTACACAACGTCACCAGTAGTGTAGATACAACATCCAGATTTTATGTCCACTGTACACATCGTCACCAGTAGTGTAGCTACAACATCTAGATTTCATGTCCACTGTACACAACGTCAGCAGGAGTGTAGCTACAACATCCAGATTTTGTGTCCAATGTACACATCGTCACCAGTAATGTAGCTACAACATACAGATTTCATGTCCACTACACAACGTCCCCAGTAGTGTAGCTACAACATCCAGATTTTATGTCCACTGTACACAACGTCACCAGTAGTGTAGCTACAACAACCAGATTTCATCTGCTGTACACAACGTCACCAGTATAGTTTAACTTAAACATCCAGATTTCATGTCCACAAACTTGATAGATTCTTTCATGTTATTCATTGATACTTGAATGATCCTGTACAAATATTACATCATATCAATCATTACATTCCATATATCCCTCAATTTTTGACCTAAATAACGAATTCACTTTACCTAAGTAAAGTTTGGGATGTGTCCTTGTTCTAGAAGTCAACTTTGTAACCTTCCACACGTGCAAGAATCCAAGGATCTGATGTCACATATATATTTGATCACTTATTTGTAAAATGGGCAGTTTTCCCTGAATGAAAATTCTCTAGTACGTGAAAAAGATTGTGAACCCTACAGCAAGATGACTATAATACCTCAGACAAATCGTGTTGTTATAGTCGTTTTGATTTTGTCAGCCTCTTCTGTGTAAAATATAACCTTTGTTGTTTGTCGGCTTTTGGTAGGCGTAGGTCTATGTTTATTCCTGTTGTATCGTCCAGCCACACCAGAAAATTGTCCTTGACTATATCTGATATACTGTTAGTGATAATAAAGCTGTTGTAATTGTAATACGCTCTTCTTCCTTGAGGCCCTGAGGTTATCTGGTTACTCATGTAGCCTTGCCCTACACATTTGCAGGGGTGTAAAATTCCACTTGCCCGACGCCCGGGACAACCAGTTTGAGCGCCCGGGCAAGTGCAGAAACTTGGCCCGCTTGCCCCAGGCAAGTGCGTTAGAATAGTATATGAAATATGTTTTTGCACATGCGTTTCTCCGTTTCCCCAAATAAATAATTAAATTAACTGGCTGTATTTTAGTGGAAAACATTCAAACAATTATGAAACAAGGAAAATTCACAAATAACAACTTTATTCTTTGTATAGAGGAAAAAATTACCGGTAGAATACTGTCGGTATATCCGTCAATTCAGACAATTTTAAAGACTTTAAGGCTGATGAAAATAACTGAAACTCTAGCTTAAATATGAATAAATAAAGGGTTTACTTACTTATTGAATGATTATATGTACTAGTTAACTACAGAAGGACAATGTTTTGCCTGAAAAACATCTCTGCTTTTCAACAGGAAGTTGCATTGGCGTGACTTAAAATCGGAATAATCCGTGTTTTTCTGGTTGTCTCCTTATGGGGTTGTTTGAAATATCGTTTATATGAGATTATTTCGATAAATTTTCAAATTTTTCTCTGATCATGATAATTTGGAGTCCTGGTATTGCAAAGTAGTTGAAAGAATTCCATGCAATGGAATATCTGGGAACTTGCATGATCGAAAACATCATATTAATGCTGAGAAAGGCCAGAACTTTCCTGCATAATCGTTTATTTCTGCGACAATCATTTCAATTAAAATTTGGGGAAGAACCTCGGGGGGGGATCTGATTTCATCAACCGTAGCTCAACGATTGGCCCATCTTCTGCTGTAAAAGCCAAAACAACGACACAAGAAAGTCCATTGACTCTGGTCAGTCTCATTGTCATCTTCACCTGATTCCACAAAACGGCTCACATCTTGTGAAGAAACGGGACTTGCTCTGGTGTCAGATTTCTGCTACACATCTTTCATTTTCATTTATATCACTTGGGTTAAAACCTTCAACAACGCTGTCAGCGGAAAAGTCATATGCTGCCATTGTTTACAAGTTGAGTTAAGTCCACATGGAGCCCCCTGGTGGAGGTCTCCCTCTACTGGGTATTCCATTGTGTAAGACTGTGTGGAGTGGCAGTATAGCATTGTCTCAGTTGTTGAGACCAGATTAACAGATGTATCGGACATGTCTTTCTCTCAATAATATATTATCTGGGTGTTTTTCAAGTTCAATTCAATTAATTTGTTTTGTAAAATAAAAGAAACCTAGAAATTTTTGCAGACAAAAGTTAAATATTAATCACACTGACACATGCCATCAGAAATGCAGCACATCGTTATCACAGGCTTGTTTTGCCCCGTGTAACATCTCCTTTTTAGGCTGGAATGAGTAGCAGTCATAGTTCTGTTTTACCGTCAATATTGCTCCAAGGGATGTTGATGACATCGGGAAAAATCACAAAACCTGGTTACCTCAGTAGGAATCTCTACTTAAACCACAAAACCTGGTTACCTCAGTAGGAATCCCTACTTAAACCACAAAACCTGGTTACCTCAGTAGGAATCTTTACTTAAACAACAAAACCTGGTTACCTCAGTAGGAATCCCTACTTAAACCACAAACCCTGGTTACCTCAGTAGGAATCTCTCCTTAAACCACAAAACCTGGTGACCTCAGTAGGAATCCCTACCTAAACCACAAAACCTGGTTTCCCCAGTAGGAATCTCTACTTAAACAACAAAACCTTGTTACCTCAGTATGAATCTCTACTTAAACCACAAATCCTGGTTACCTCAGTAGGAATCGCTACTTAAACCACAAAACCTTGTTACCTCAGTATGAATCTCTACTTAAACCACAAATCCTGGTTACCTCAGTAGGAATCTCTTCTTAAACCACAAAACCTGGTTCCCTCAGTAGGAATCCCTACCTAAACCACAAAACCTGGTTCCCTCAGTAGGAATCCCTACCTAAACCACAAAACCTGGTTGCCTCAGTAGGAATCTCTACGTAAACCACAAAACCTGGTTCCCTCAGTAGGAATCCCTACCTAAACCACAAAACCTGGTTCCCTCAGTAGGAATCCCTACCTAAACCACAAAACCTGGTTTCCCCAGTAGGAATCTCTACTTAAACCACAAACCCTGGTTACCTCAGTAGGATTCCCTACTTAAACCACAAACCCTGGTTACCTCAGTAGGAATCTCTACTTAAACCACAAAACCTGGTTTCCACAGTAGGAATCTCTACTTAAACCACAAAACCTGGTTACCTTAGTAGGAATCTTTACTTAAACCACAAAACCTGGTTACCTCAGTAGGAATCCCTACTTAAACCACAAAACCTGGTTACCTCAGTAGGAATCTCACTTAAATGAAAATAACCTTGTAAAATATATCTATATTTGTTTTTGACAATTTAATGCACAAGAAAACATTTTTTTCATTTACCTTATCAAAAACAGGCAGTTATCCGAAGCATTTACGTTGTTCAGGAACATACTCCTTTATAATGACAACATCCAGTCTTATGATACTTATACTCCTTTATAATGACAATATCCAGTCTTATGATATGTATACTCCATACTTTCTTATGATGGCAATATACATATACTTTCTTATGATGGCAATATACTTTCTTATGATGGCAATATACTTTCTTATGATGGCAATATATGTATACTTTCTTATGATGGCAATATACTTTCATATGATGGCAACATCTAGTCTTATGATGGCAATATCTAGTCTTATGATGGCAATATCTAGTCTTATGATGGCAACATCTAGTCTTATGATGGCAATATCTAGTCTTATGATGGCAATATCTAGTCTTATGATGGCAACATCTAGTCTTATGATGGCAACATCTAGTCTTATGATGGCAATATCTAGTCTTATGATGGCAACATCTAGTCTTATGATGGCAACATCTAGTCTTATGATGGCAATATCTAGTCTTATGATGGCAACATCTAGTCTTATGATGGCAACATCTAGTCTTATGATGGCAATATCTAGTCTTATGATGGCAACATCTAGTCTTATGATGGCAACATCTAGTCTTATGATGGCAATATCTAGTCTTATGATGGCAACATCTAGTCTTATGATGGCAACATCTAGTCTTATGATGGCAATATCTAGTCTTATGATGGCAACATCTAGTCTTATGATGGCAACATCTAGTCTTATGATGGCAATATCTAGTCTTATGATGGCAACATCTAGTCTTATGATGGCAACATCTAGTCTTATGATGGCAATATCTAGTCTTATGATGGCAACATCTAGTCTTATGATGGCAACATCTAGTCTTATGATGGCAATATCCAGTCTTATGATGGCAACATCTAGTCTTATGATGGCAACATCTAGTCTTATGATGGCAACATCTAGTCTTATGATGGCAACATCTAGTCTTATGATGGCAACATCTAGTCTTATGATGGCAACATCTAGTCTTATGATGGCAACATCTAGTCTTATGATGGCAACATCTAGTCTTATGATGGCAACATCTAGTCTTATGATGGCAACATCTAGTCTTATGATGGCAACATCTAGTCTTATGATGGCAACATCTAGTCTTATGATGGCAATATCCAGTCTTATGATGGCAATATCCAGTCTTATGATGGCAACATCTATTCCTATGATGGCAACATCTAGTCTTATGATGGCAACATCCAGTCTTATGATGGCAACATCTAGTCTTATGATGGCAACATCCAGTCCTATGATGGCAACATCCAGTCTTATGATGGCAATATCCAGTCTTAACCCCTGCAGAATTTTCATGAACAGTTCATGAATAATTCATGAACTGCTCATAACTATTTGTTCATGAACTGGTCATAACTATTTGTTCATGAACTGCTCATAACTATTTGTTCATGAACTGCTCATAACTATTTGTTCATGAACTGCTTATAACTATTTGTTCATGAACTGTTCTTAAAATGCTCATGAACTGTTCATGTGCATTTCAAGAACAGTTCATGAACTATAAGCTGAAATTAAAGAACTGTTCATGAACTGTTCATGAACACTATAAAAGTATTGGGTATTACAGTATCTGCGCTGTTGGAAGCAAAACAGCAAAACAGAACACAAAATACCTTCCAGCACACATACATATGGAGGATAGTGTCAAAATATTCAGCTTGTTGAGGGTGGAAACTTAATTAACTGGTAGAACTAGAAAAACAAGAAAAAACAAAGGTTAATAGAGACGTCATTTCTGAAATTTAATTAAAATTCTTCAGCAAGTCAATTATGCATAAAAATAATTATCATACGTTTTAATAAAAATATGGAGAATATTAACTATTTTTGACTGATTTACAATTGACAAATGGTCTTTAATAGGATCCCTTGGACTTTGTATTCATGAATATCTCTCTAACATTTTTTTAGGACGTCGGCTCTATGTGTATATCTAAAATTAATTTATTTATTTTTGTGAAATCGCTGTTCCATTTTCTGTAAATTTTCAAACTTTCTAAAGAAGGATGTCCTGGTCAGTTCTGGACATTTCTCCAGCACAGCCCTTTCTAACAAGAGCATTTTGTTGGCATCAAGGACTGGACGAGGCATCATGGTATCCTGGCTCTTGGCAGGTTTCTTGCCAGTTCTAGAATATTCTACAAGTTCAGTTTTAGTAAATACTAGAAGTGTCAAATGCTTCACAATTTCCTTCGTCTCCTTCTCCGACGAACAGGAAAGGTGACTGACGGAAGCCAAAAGGTTGGATGTGTCGCTCACACTCGCGTGTACACTATTCACTACACTACTAGTGCTGGTACTCAAGTTACTTTGGGATGAGGACACCATCTCTTCCAATTTTTTCCTCAAGCCTTTTTAGTTTCTTTTTTTGTGCTCCTCATGTCCTTATATTAAATATTTCTCTTTTTATTCTGTGGCAACTCGAAATGATTTTTGAAAATTTTGACCCGAGCAACAGAAACAATGTAAAACTACAACTGAAAAGGCTGTACATTTACTAAATCATCCATATGAAAAATGTCCACTTGGTTAAATATATATATATACAAAAAGGCAAGCATAAAAAAGCAAGTCCTCAACCAAGCGTAGACCACGTGGGGAGACAAAAGAACATCAAGGGACAAAATGTGACCAAAGTCAAGAGGCAATGCGTACCAACCACCACATAAACAAAATAAAACTACCAAACACCAATCACACTATATAATGCGACAGTCCCAAGTAAAAATCGGAGCTAATAATAATAATAAGCCTTGAAAATGTTATGCGCCGTGTAATTTGTGCATTATTAAATCTACTCGTTAGCTAAAAATTAACAATGCATAATTTTAACACATTAACTCTGATTTCTACTTGGGACTGTCACACATATATATAATATATAAATATATATATATAAATGAGAGTAGAAAAGCAATGCAGATCAGTACTGAAGTTGCGACATAGTGCATTACAATAGGAATTGTACATGCATACAAAAGCACAATATTATTGATGAATTGGAGTGGACATTCTCAACTGTTGCAGATCTAAATCACTATATTTTTGGGTATAATAGGATCACTAAAATTAAGATAATGTTATCATTATTAGAATAATTATGCGCAAATAATACTTACTGAGAGCTGGAGACGACCGGGCCATCCGGTGCAGACAAGGATGCAGGTCCTGGGAGGTGGTCACCATCCGGTGCAGACGAGGACGCAGGCCCTGGGAGGTGGTCACCATCCGGTGCAGACGAGGACGCAGGCCCTGGGAGGTGGTCACCAGCCGGTGCAGACGAGGACGCAGGTCCTGGGAGGTGGTCATCATCCGGTGCAGACGAGGACGCAGGCCCTGGGAGGTGGTCACCAGCCGGTGCAGACGAGGACGCAGGCCCTGGGAGGTGGTCATTATCCGGTGCAGACGAGGGCGCAGGTCCTGGGAGGTGGTCACCAGCCGGTGCAGACGAGGACGCAGGCCCTGGGAGGTGGTCATTATCCGGTGCAGACGAGGGCGCAGGTCCTGGGAGGTGGTCACCAGCCGGTGCAGACGAGGACGCAGGCCCTGGGAGGTGGTCATTATCCGGTGCAGACGAGGGCGCAGGTCCTGGGAGGTGGTCACCAGCCGGTGCAGACGAGGACGCAGGCCCTGGGAGGTGGTCATTATCCGGTGCAGACGAGGGCGCAGGTCCTGGGAGGTGGTCACCAGCCGGTGCAGACGAGGACGCAGGCCCTGGGAGGTGGTCATTATCCGGTGCAGACGAGGGCGCAGGTCCTGGGAGGTGGTCACCAGCCGGTGCAGACGAGGACGCAGGTCCTGAGAGGTGGTCACAATCCGCCGTAGGCAAAGCTGAATGCAGCATATCGTCACATGTCACCGACCTAAAAAAAACACCAAGAAATTGTCCGTCACATTTGGGAACGAATAAACAGCCATTAATCCCTATTGTGATTTTTAAAGTAAAGCTGAATTAATACTGTAAATAACTATACAAATAGGAAACATTAATCATCCTAAAGCTCTTGGAGTTCAAATTCACTTAAAAAAAACAGTAGCAGAAGACTTGAAACAGAAAAGGCTGTAACTTCAAAGATCAATAAATATAGTTTAGTATTTAATATGTTCTTCACTTGAAGGAGTCATGAACATTTTTAAACACCACTATCTGGATAATCTGTTTTAATAGTCCATATTGTTTATATATATATATAATATATGCATGTAAAAACTACATTACAATTTATACACGACACTTACTGATCATTATCATCACCATCCATTAATAACGTCTGTATGAGATTGTTGATGAAACTGGAATCCTCAAGACAGTCCAGGTCATCTTCAAAATCATCGCATCCCATCTGAGCTAGAAGAATGGGTGCATGCTGTGGCATTGTAACTGGCAGAAAGGGAACAAAGTGGTTAGGAACCCAGTTTTTCTCCATCTGTGGTCTCGTACTGGTCCACATTATTCCACAGATGCTGTTGGCATGTCTCAACTCGCGTGGAAGAATCAATCTATGAAGGGTGAGATGGGACACTGGTGGCCCAAGATTCGGGTAGACTGACAAAAGTTTACATCCCATGACTGAGCTGATGGCAAACAACTCCCATATGCCCATGTATGAATTTCTTTGTCTAATCCCCATTATTTCGGACTCGAATAATGTCTTCATTAACGCTGGTCCCAGTGCATTTCCGGTGATATAGTACTCGGAGAACATGGCATATGTGGTTGCAAGACATTTTTCTTCATTTGGCGGTAGAGATGCACCCCTGTTGACATAATCTAAATTGAGATATAACTCGCTGTGTGTGAGTAGTTCAAGGATAATTCTGTATCTAATCTCAACATGGTGTCTTTCATCTCCAAACGCAAGAACACTTGCACTTCTCGCGAGGCAGTTCCCATCACCAAGCACATTCACTGGTATCAGGGTAGTTAGCTCCTCTGGAAGGTCATCTGGTAGTAGTTCTTGTGCAACAGAGTCTCCAGTTAAATTGCTTTCAATAATACTGATGTTGAGATCTACACTTACATGTCCATAAGTGTTTTCGCATTCCTCGGTGAGTTGAAATGCACAAGTTTCCAGCTCCTCATATGTGTCCAAACTACGAATTTCCCTCATTTTGGCTTCAAAATATGCCTGTCTCTCGTTCCCTACATCTGTAGCTCCAATGTCATTTATCGTCCCTTTTTTCTCCTTCGGTCCCTTTGTCCCTTCCTCCTTTACCTTCTCTGAAATGTTTGCTGACACACCTTTCTGCTGCCCCACAGTATGTCTCCTCTTCTTAGCTTCTTCTGGGACAGATGCCTCTTTCTGTTGTCCTTTAGTCTTTCTCTTCTTCGCATTGACTGTACCACTTATCACCTCTTTCTGTGGTCTCTTATTCCCAACACCAGTCTCTGTTGGAAGGCTTGGCCTCAAAATCATGTAGGGTTCTACATTATTATTGGATTCACATTCAGACCTACCTCTCGTACTTTGCCTACCGATTCCCCTCGCTGGTTTCTGTCTCTTTGTTGCTGGTGCCTCATTCTCCTTTTCATTCCCCTGTTCTTTTGTGTTTTTCGTAGATTTCTGTCTTTTTGTTCTTGCAACAACACATACATCTTCCACCACCCAATCGGACACATAACTTGATGATGGACATGTGAACTGTCCATCTAGCCCAAGGCAATTGACACATGTGCATGTCAGTGCTCTGGTACCAATTTTGCCATAGGATATACCCCGCACTGAATGTAATTTTCTGGTACCTTTAACCGTCTTTCCCTCTCTATTCCTATCTCTCTTGATGTTGTCCAGTAAATGGAATGTTCTTTTGAGCTTTGGTTGGTCTCGTGCAAGCTTTTGGTCTCCAAATTCTTTTAACTGTTTGGCATTTGTTATAAATTGCCCACCTTTGACTGCACGTGTCACGGCTGATTTAACCACACCAGAAACTGCATCAGCTGGTCCTTTGCCATGGCCTGACCCGAAAAAATTTCTGTCCATCCCATTTCTGGCACTTATATCCAAAAAAGGAATTTTTGACTTGTACTGTGATGAACAACCATCAGTAAATTGTACAATTTTCCTTATGAGTACAGTTTCCTCTAGGTGTTTAAGAGTTTCCGTCAAGCACGCCTCTACAAAATGTGCATCGTGTTGAATGTCGTCCGACACGAACACCATTTCATGTGTTTTCCTTCTTGTTCCTTCTTGTTCCTTCGTCTCTGCATTGGTTGTAGTATAGTTATAGTAACATACTACTGGGTGGATTGTGATCTGGTCGTGTGCCCAATGAGCACTTCGGATTTCATCCTGAGTTTTGGCCGTGTAATTTTCTGCGAAATCCAAAACGCACAATAGAACACCATCTGGCAAGTTTTCCTTCAAGTTGACTAACTGTTGGTACTGCCAGCTTGCTTCAAATAAATGTGTTGCCAGGTTTTCGAGGCTGTTTGTCAATTCAACAACAAGATTTTTCATTGTACCGGAATGATCTACCAGGACCTTTTTTGTGGTTTCCTTCCCCGTTTTCTTGTTGGTAAGTTTAACTACTTGCCACTTGTACCAAGTTGTTGCTTTATCCATATCTGTGTTTGATATATGCCCCTGCAGTCCTGCTTCTACTCCACATTTTAGACATTTTCGCTGAACGCAAGAAAGTTGTGGATGCTTTTTGTATTGACAAAGAGTAATTCTGCTGGCTTCGTATCTGTCTTTTATTTTGTCTTTATTTTCCTTATTATATGCTTTAAGAATCAGCTCCACATTGACACATTTTTCACAGAGACAGCCTCTGAACTGTTGTTGGTCGACTGTTTTTATATTTGAAGGCTTAAGTTTAGCAAATTTGCTGAAACTGACTTTTAGATCTGGGTTTTCTGTTTGGAAAAGTTTATGAGTTTCCCGTAAGGTTTGGTTCAGGGTTTGTTGCTGTTGTTCTCCTTTCACTGTCGCCTTTGATGATTGAACTACCGACACATATGGTTTTATGAAAAAATTCTTGATGTCTTCTGTGTGTAGAAGTATATCTGACCTCTTCTTCCTTTCTTCTTCCGCACACCGAGACCATCTTGACATTGTTTTGTAGCGCAGTCCTAGTTCTTTACATGTTCTCATCATTTTTTTATGCTTCTTCAGGGTTTTGGCCATTTTGTTCATAACTGTACGTCTCTGTTTTGTGCTAGCTGATGACTTGTTTGCTTTTAAATCCTCAAGAGTTTTTTTTTATACAATCTACAGTGTTTTCCATATTCACTAGTCTCTTCCTTTTGGAGGGTGTCAACAGCATATTCTTCTCTGATAAACATTTCCTTTTATTTGGTGATGCTTTTTGTATTATGCTATTTACAACATCTGCAAATTTCTCTGGATCTTTGGGTAGGCTTTTCCTTAATCTACATACTGCCGTTCTTTTTGCAGCTGGAGTACCAAATGAGGATGAACTTTTCTCTCGAGAATCTGCTACATCATGTGTCTCTTTTCCAGATCTCTCTGACAGCTTCGCCAACGTATCCCGTTCCCTTATTCATCTTTTTTTTTGAGGACCAAGTTTACTTCTGAAAATATATAACAAAACAAATGTTAACATAGTCATGATACACTGATATGACTTTGTATGTATACGTCAACATAATAAAACCACAGAAAAATTATGAGTTTTGGTAGTTTTTGGTGTTTAAAAAAAATCACTGTATACATCGAAGTGAAGCGGAGCTACATTGACCTTCTGGGGTCAGACTATTGTTGGTGACGTCATTTACAATAGATTTCATGACATATCAGGGTTATTCACATCATAAACAATCACCTTCTGGGACTTCAGAAATTTGTGAACTATATCGTGCTTATAAACAGTTGAAAATTATTTCAATTGACCTATCAAATGCTGTGATAGTGATATTTTTATTAGTAAATGTATAAATTTGTCAGATGGAATAATGTTCATCCGATTGGTCAGATGTTCATAGGGATATCACTTGATTTGTGTAGCGTAGTGTTAGTAGTGCTCAATAAGTGTTCATAGCGATATGCATGTATATCACGGGGGTTTGTCTAGTTAAGTGATCATATCGATATATATAACACAGGGGTTTGTCTAGTTAAGTGTTTATATCAATATATAACAGGGGTTTGTCTACTTATGTGTTCATAGCGATATATCAGAGGTTTGTCTTGTGAAGTGTTCAGAGCCATGGATCACAGGGGTATGCATAATGTTGTTCTCAGAAATATAGAACGAGGGGATTGTATATGGAGTTGTTCATTATGATATTATATATATATATATATGGGTTTGTAGTGAGGTTGCAAAGGTGTTGAAGTGACATAGACCCAGTGTCATTCACCCCCATTCTGTTCACCCAGGGGCAAGAGAAGAGAAAGAACAAGTTTGGACAGATTTCATTTATTCTACATGAAATCTTGCTTGCTCTGTGACTAGATGGACACATGTTACCCCAATTAATAAACCTTGAAATCTTCATTTGTAATTTACCTGTACTGTTTGTAATTTACCTGTACTGTTTGTAATTTACCTGTACTGTTGTTTTTGTTTTTTCCACCTCACACGCCTCGCTTCCTTTTGATGTCTCGTCAAGACAGGCTGTGAGGTGATTTTCTTGATGGAAGCAGCTGAATCCTTGCATGCTGTTCTATGTCGCTGCATTCGAACTCGGGCTGTCTCTCTGTCCCTACAAATGCCATGAAACTATTTAATGAATCCATCAAAGGGAATCTGTAAGAATGTTAGTATTCGCCATAATGTCAAATTATACTCATATTTGGAAAACTTTAAATCTGACATTTGCATATTTATACAAGATGTACATACATACATTAATTTAGAGAAGTTTTAAGTAACTACATTTTTAAGTAATTTACTGCACATGATAGACTTTAATTTGCAAACCAGATCTGTTTATAACATATAGTGTTATACTATACCAGCACTGATAGGCAAAATTTCAATCTTGTGTCGTCACTATCCTGGGAAATCAATATAAGCAAGCTTTACATTATAAACATACCTTTCAATTTGTGCAGTCGTCCTTTCTCTTCTATGCATTCTTTTCCTCTCAGTTTCCTGTTGACGATGTACAGGGTCAGACTTCTTCCGCTGTCTCCAAAGTCTGCACTTTTCTGCATTCTTAAAATGAAGACATATTTAAAGTTTTGAAAATAAATAATTACACATGTATATATGTATACTATGTTCTAAGCCTACAGTAATAAATACTGGAATAAGAATCAAATTTCACATAAAAATGTAAAATGTTCGTACTCTGATAATATATTAGAGAACAGTATATTTAGTAAGGAAACTGGTATTTTTTTCATTCCATTGGAATAAATAAAGTTAAATAAAGCACAAGCAATAAGGAAAAGGGGGGAGGGGTTGCTCGTATTATATCATAACACTCTGTTTTAAATTATAACAGGCCATGACAGTAAGGCACATCACAAATTCAGCAATCGTCACGTTACAGAAAGTTGTCCAAATTATTAGCTTGTCCTAAAGTTCGTCCGACGATGTCCACCTGTTCGTCACGACCATCCGACAGTTACGGGCGACATGTCAGTCAAAAACGTAATCGGTCTTCAAGTTACGTCCGACCAATGAAAGCTGTCTTAAGTTACGCCCGAACAAAAAAAATTGGTCCTTAGTTACGGACAAACTTACATTTTCTGTCTAAAAATTACGCCCGACCTAACAAAGTCGGTCCTTGATTTGACTAACACAACGTAGTATGTCTGCTTTATCGTTTCAAATCCGTCACATACCAACCACTTTGGTGTTTATAAATACCATGATTAGCGTACTTTCACACAATAACATGATCATTAATAATGACCCGGTAGTCTATGAAGAAAAAGCATTAGTTGTCAGTTCGCTCGTAACATAGGTTTGCCCGTAACATTTGCACTTACCGAGACAGACTGCGAGCAGCCATCTCCTTTTACCGCCATGTTATCCTCAGACCAGTTTTCGACAGTCACGTGTCATAACGATCACTCCTGCTTTCCGAGCGGGATGTCGTAAAAGACTTCGCTTGCGGGTGTTACTCGGAAAAACTAATTAAATAAGCGAAAGTTCGCCCGCAACAGCTGGACAGAAATCAACATAGCATACTAATGTTTCAGATACTTATTATCGTTGGGAATGTTATGTTATTTTAATATTACTTTTCTACAGGTAATCACCTTTTATTTCCATTAAAGAATTTTTACCAACGCAATCCTGTTGCATTTTAGTATAAATTAATTATTTTCGTCAAACATCTCTGTGGACAGACATTGTTACGTCCGACACATTTGGTTTAAATTACGTTTTTTATCATTTAAATGCTATTTTTTTTTCCATTTGTTAATTATTATTTAGAATTGAAGGTTTATTTGTCTAGAATATTTCTAATACATCAATAAAGAAGTTAGTATAATATTGCTATACGACTTTTCTTTTTACCCATTAGGTCTATGTAACAAAGTGATGTAGTAAAACACACAGACAAGACTTTTAAAAAAGAATTTATTAAATATCTGAACACAATTGATACTTGAAAATGATTATTATATGTAATATTGAACTATTATTACCACTGCATATAACGTCTGAAAGATAGCCTGATTGGAAACCATGTTATTAATTAATGAATTGTACATGTACCAAACTGGGCACCATAGCAAAGAAAGACTCTGACCAGTACAATTGGGTAAAACTAACAAGAGCACCGCACACCAGGGGTGTACAATTCCACTAGCCCGACGCCCAAGGCTAGTGGATTTGAAGTCAGGGCTAGTGAAAATGTTCTTATTACCTATAAAAATATAGGCTGGGTTAGTAAAAAAAATTAATATTTGCCTACGGGCTAGCTATAGTATGTAAAATATTTAATCGTACACCCCTGAAAGGGTAATAACTCTTTAAACAATCGTCAAATCAGAATGCTAATTTAAAAAGCACAACTACAGCCTTTTAAGTTTTTAAGTAGATCAGTCAAAAACTGAGGGAGGAGATCTTTGGACAAAATTAAAATACTGAAAACAGCAAGGGTGATAACTCTTTCAGAAATGATGATTTGGAAAACATGACTACATGTCATGATAAAGCCTACCCAGTGCTCCCACTCATTTTTGTAACAAGGGGTGTTTGTACCCCCAGTTTCCCACATGTGGGGGTATGATGTTAAAATGGGGGAGGGCAGGGGGTAAAAAACTGAGGAAGGAGATGTTCAAACAAAATTCAAATACTGGAAAACAACAAAGGGCAATATTATAACTCTTTCAGCAAATGGATGGACGGACCGACAACGCCATACCATATATTGTCCCGTCTAAATTTTTGACGGGCATACAAAAAACCTGGCGATTAATTTACTGTACCTGTATGTGTTGCTTTGAAATGTAGTCAATCCGACTGGATCATGCTCTTGCTCACTACACTCTTTCTTGTACTGGAGGAACACCTTCCAGACAGACGATCGCAACGCTCTGCATGCCCCATGCTTGTTCACTCGTTTTACGTCCGGGAGCACCACAGACACGTCAGCACGTCTGTAAAAGTCATTTACAGTTCTTATTCTTTTTACAGAAATTGTGTCAGCTCTACAGTGTGTGACGCCATCTCCTTTGTTGTTAATCTTCTGTAGGTAGGACCATCTTAGGCCCTACTTTCTTGCATTTGCACGCAAAGACAGGCTGTTTTTGCATGCCGCATTGACAATTGTGGCTCTTAACTTGTTGTTAGCCTTCGTTCTACGGACTTTTAGGTCATCCAGTTTGGAAGTTATTCCAGACAGAATATTTCTTCTGGTGGTACCTCTGTGTGTTTTATCAGATGAAGTTTCCATTCTGCATTCGTCCATTGCCCTCTTTTTTCTCGGGGTTGCATTCTTTAGAATATGTTGAATAACTTTCGCAAATTTTCCAGGTGACTTGGGCAGTGCGTTTCTTGCTCTAGATGCATAAACTCTCAAGTTGCTTTTGCTGTCCGGTGTGTAAAGTTTGACATGAATTTGAAGTCTTCTTCTCGATTCTTGTTTTCTAAGGCGCCAATACTCTTTTTTCTCCTGCCTTTGTCGTTTGGTTGGTCGTTTGGTGGTTATTGGACCCACTGATACTGCCTTACTCTTCTTCTGTCATCTGTATTTCTTTGCCCTGCAAGATCAACAGAAATTCAATGTACAGAACTACACAATAGCCGAGGCTGTGTATCTTTGTCAAGTACATACTAGGGCTATTATGATTTAATAAAATGTATGTATATATTTTAAAATGCACAACCATGTGCACAAACCCAGACAGCACATATAACACAGATGCAGTTTCAAAATATATACAATAGCCTGGCTCCAGTTGATAGTCTAATGGTCAGATGCAGTCTATATTTTTAAGTAATCCTACAATAGTTTATTATTATTGACAAGTTGCATTTGATAGATTGAATTCATACAGTGAACTTTATAATATCTTGAAACACACGTTAATATAGTGGTGATCAAACTTGTGATTGGCAGGAACTTGTCTAATCTAGGGGTCTATTATATAAATATTATCTTTGAGGAAAATAAAAATAAATAATGTACTGTTAAAGTCTGACCAATTAGATACCTTTCTCTTGCTTGTACTCGTTGTCGTAGAAGTTTTTGCAATGCGTCCTCATCCCCATCTTCGCATTTAGCCTTGAAGGTTTGTCTCATGTCTCGCTGCAGTGTGCTTTCCTTTCTTTGATAACTGAAATAATTTAAGAATATATTTGTTCAAGTTAAAAACTTGTCAAGAGACTACGAAACAACATACATGTTATGATGATGTGTACATTTCTAGTACATGATTATGATATCCAACTGACTACTCATAGAGTGCTTTACAAGGATTTAAAAATATTATGCTTTTGAATAGATTACAAGTATTAGTAACAAACTCAAAATATTTTTTGGGAACCAAATGCCCCTTCCCATTATGTATTGTTCTATTTATTGCATGCAATGAGCAAAATGTGACCAATAAACAAAGGTGAAAATAATAGGACCAAAATATGATAATGATGCATACTAAAACTTCACACATCATCAGCTTAATATAATAGGATCAATAACTTGAAAATATCATAGATAAGACTGGCAGTGGCAGGTGATATTAAAATGGGAAAATAATTTACCAAAACTTTGGTTTGGCGGGACAAAATATTACATTACCTTTCTGCATGTCGGCCGTTTCTGACTTTCTCCCTATAACGGCGCTGTCTATCTTTGGATAAATCCACTGATGTCTGAGCAGGAGTGCTGCAAATATACAGACAAAATATTCAGTAGATAGCATAACAAAGATGGTCAGCTATCAATGTGCACTAAAACCATGCGTGTACATCCAACGTATTATTTGATTCGTTAACACCCTTATTCATAATGCAGGAATGGAACTTCCCCAGCAAGAATTTCATGAACAGTTCATGAATTAGTTCATTAATTAGTTCATGAATTGTTCATGAACATTTAATGGAACATTTCAGTTCATGAATAACAAGTTCATGAACTATTTCTTGAACATAAATTCATGAACTATTTCTGGAACAGTTCATGAACTGTTATGTTTCAATTAATGTTCATGAATTAGTTCATGAACACTAAATTGATTTAAAACATTGAAAAACAAACAGGTTTAATTAAGATATTTATTATTTTTTCTGGTTTCTTCTTTCCATTTTTTGGATGTTCTCAAATTTTTTGTGGAACTCCTTAATGGTAAGTCCTGTTTGATTAATGGCTGCCCGTTCCAAAATTTCAAATTTTGAATTGTCCAGCGCAGGACGACTGCCTTGAAGATTTTTCGCTGATTTTTTCCCTGTCCTTGAGGAGTTCATCAGTTCATCTGATGTGAAGGTCTTCACGAGTTTTCCCAAAACCTTACTGGTGTCGCTAATGTTTTTGACAGAGTCAATTAATGACTCGAATGTAATTTAGGGTCCTGCTGCTGCTGTTTCTGCTGCTGCTGTTCCTGCTGCTGATGTTATTGGTGATAATGTTTCAGGTGTAGACGGTACTTTATTGGACAGGGTTTTTTGGCATTTGTGTAGGTGTTCTTCAAATTTTTCTTCTAAACGTTTCTGTCTACGTTTTAAACTTTTGACGTCCCCTTCCAATTGTTTGATGCGCTCTCTGCAATAGAAATATCAATAAATCAGTGATTCATTCTAAAATATACAGCCTGTAAAAGAAAGTACAATGTATTGCAACTAATTATGGTACATAGTTTAAAAAAAAAGGTAAGTAAATCACGGATTATTCAAATTATAAATTATTAATTCATGTCTTTTTTAATATATATTGCAAGATATGTGTTTTATTGTTGAAACACAGATTTTTAGAACTTTTACCAAATTCTGAAACGTGTAGAAAACTATTTATGCGACCATTGAGCACGTTGTCATAATTAAAATATGCCATTTATACTGGACTTTTAATTTAAAATTTATGGAGACGCATAACCACAATTGTAATGCATGACAAGAACCACTTATCCATGTCATAAACAACCTGGTTACAACCATACTATAATATTGACATCTGTCTCATTGAATGGTATGAAATTAATAGACAACATAGCAAGCCAACACATACCTGCTTGTTAATGACGACAGTTTTACCTCTCCTGGAGACTTGCAAGATTCACTATGGACAGATTATGAAATTCAGACACGCCCAGGCATGTATTAGAAGGAGAGGTCTAGGGGTGAAAAAAAGGAATGGGTGGAAAATCACATACGATGCAAGTAACTGCAAAGTGGCTGGGGCATTGAAGTCAATAGCATTAGTGGACATTGATCAGTCTTCATTGACACAGCTAAAGGAACTACACTGTTTAGAAAATGGAGTAAACTTGAAAAAACTTGACAGGGTCATTGTAAACGAGAAGAAATTTTACTCCGATCAATATAGTAGAATGAAGAAAAGGATATGCAGTGTCATTTTGTATGGCAAAAATGAATTGATTGGCTGCATTAAATACTTTCTTCTGTGTGAAAATGTTGCTTATGCAATTCTAGAGAAAATGGAGAAAATCCCAGAGTCTCTTCTTCAGATACACGTGGCATCTCATTTTGTCCGATATACAGGTTGTCTTACTTTGGTGAATGTGGAACAGTTGCACGAAGTG